AATAATTGACGAACTTAACATTGGTGTCCTTAATACTGGTAAAATTACCAAACGCTCTCGTCCTAATGAGTCTAGAAGTGCTGTAGATTTATCAATTTGTACTCCTAATTTAACCACTCTTCTAAATTGGTCAGTTCTAGATTGCTCTCACGGCAGTGACCATTTTCCCATTCTTATTTCCTTCCCGAACACAGAATTGGCAGAAATTAACAAAAAGCCATGTATTAAATACAAATTAGACTGAGCAGACTGGAACCTGTACAATATTTTTCTTTACGATGAAATTCTAAAAATCGTTCCTATTTCTGAAAATAATATAATTTCTATTGTTGAAGCATTTACAAACGCAGTTATAAATGCAGCATATCAAACAATTCCTGTTAAAACTCTAAATAATAAATGTAGGCCCTCCCCTCCATGGTGGGATTCTGAATGTACTGAGTCCATTCGTAATAGGAAAAAAGCCGAAAAACAATATAAATTAAATTAGACATGAGTTCGGAAAACTATTCATACTTTCAACGTGTACACGAAGTCACTAAAAATACACTTCGCACAAAAAAAACAAACAAGTTGGCATGCCTTTTGTTCCTCTATTTCTCCTTCAATACCTTCATCAGTTGTTTGGCGTAATATTTTCGCTGTTGTTTTTCATCTTGTTTTTACAGTGGTGCCATTCCCTCTCAATCTATGAACACTTTTCTGGATAAACTTGCCCCTCTTCTGCTCAAAGTATTCCATGTGATTCTTTTTTTTTAGACGGTATTCCATATTCACTACTTGCCAAATGTAATAATCAAATTTTATCCTACTATTTAAATATCATTAACGTTTTGTTTGACATAGGCTTTGTTCCTGACTTTTGGCGGACTCAAGTAATTATTCCTATCTTGAAACCTGACAAAAATCCTAACGTCGGCTCTTCCTATAGACCGATCGCTCTATCCTCAACTCTAATTAAAATCTTTGAACATACGATCAAGAACCGTCTTGAATGGTATGTAGAAAGTCATGGATTGTTATCAAATACCCAATATGGATTCAGAAAAGGTAAAAGCACATATGACAGTCTTTCTATCTTCACCACAGATATTAGACTAGCATTTTCGAGAAATGAATCGGTCCTTGCTGCTTTCCTTGACATTTCTTCTGCTTACGATAATGTCAGACTTAACATCCTTAGAGAAAAGATGTTTAAGCTTAATATATCCAAAAAACTTACAAATTCGATTATCAATTTATTTCTAGATCGATATATACATATTAAAATTGATGATGATCTAAAATATACTCGAAAGATTTTCAAAGGCCTTCCACAACGCTCTGTTTTCAGTCCTTTATTATACAATATTTATAAGTCAGATTTGGACCAGTCTATTTCAAAGTGTAGAATTTTGCAATACGCTGATGATATCTTAGTTTATGTTTATGATAATTGTATAGAATCCTGTGCTAAAGCGATAGAACAAGATCTGCTCTCTATGGCCTCTTGGTTAGATGATTATGGACTAGAACTTTCCCCAAATAAAAGTAATACAGTAATTTTTTCGCGCAAAAGAGTTTTACCTGAAATCCAAGTTCACCTTTTTGATTATCCGCTCGTAAATATCCAAAAAGTTAAATTCCTTGGTGTAATTCTTGATAATAAATTATCCGGCACGCCTCATATTATTTATACCCAAAAAAAATGCGAAAAAAATATAAACATTCTTAGAGCTTTGTGCAGGGTATGGTGGGGCGCTCATCCATATTCTTTAAAATTAATTTATAATGCAATTATAAGAAGTCGATTAGATTACGCCTCATTTCTTCTTGAACCCGCTAGTAAAAAAGGATTAAAAATATTAGATATCATTCAACACAAGTCTTTAAGATTAATTATAGGCGCTATGAATTCGTCGCCTATCAATGTCTTGCAGATTGAATGCGGTGATTCTTCACTTTTTATTAGACGACAATATTTATCGGATTCCTTTTTTTATCGGGTTCTTCAATTTTCAAACCATCCATTACTCCCTAAAATTCGTTTGCTTTCTCAGTACATTTCAATTAATTCAGGAAAATACTGGCGTAATAAAGAAACACCTAACCTAGTTAAAAGCTATGAACATTATAATTCCTTACTAGATGCTATTTATAGGTCGGCGACTCTGCCTCTTTTCTCCAATTCGTTTGAAGTTGCACTTTTCAAACCCAATGTTATATTAGATATAGGATTAAATAAATTTTCTATTGAATCAAATAAAAATTTGTATTTACGTTGGACAAGAATTTCCCAGATTGTCTATTATTTTTACAGATGCTTCTAAGATTAACTCAAAAGGTTGTACTGGATATGTAATATACCATCAAAATTGGAGAATAGTTCAAAAAATGAATAGTCCTCCCGAATCTTCAGTTTTTACTGGAAAAATATTAGCCATTTTACAATCAATACGAGGGTGGATTGAAAAGTACTCGGCCTAACCAAGAAAATAAACACATATTAAATCAGTTATATTTTTATTTTTCTACATAATCACCATCAAGTTCAATACACTTTTGCCACCTCCCCTTCCAAGCATTTAGACCGTTGAAAAAAAAATGATTCTTCCTTAGAGTCAAAATATGCGTCTACAGCTGCTTTGACCGTGTCGTTTGTCGAAAATCTTTGACCTCCCAAGTGCTTTTTTAGGTTAGGGAACAGAAAGAAGTCTGATGGTGCCAGATCAGGTGAATACGGCGGATGCGGTAACAGTTCAAAGCCACAGTTGTGAATTTCAGCCATTGACTGTACTGACGTGTGAAAACGGGCGTTATCTTGATGAAACAGGACTTTTCTTCTGAGCATTCCTCGACGTTTTTCTTTTATTTCCTCTCGTAAACGACGTAGTAAGGTGCAGTAGTAATCAGAGTTTATAGTCTGACCCCTTTCAAGATAATCAATCATAATCACACCTTTCGAGTCCCAGAATACTGAAGCCATCACCTTATTTGCCGACAAAATCGACTTAGCCTTTTTTAGGGGGTGGTGAACCAGGTCTTCTCCACTGTTTTGATTGTTGTTTTGTTTCCGGTGTACAGTAATGAACCCATGTTTCGTCCATAGTAACAAAACGATTCAAAAATCATCTGCATCGGCTTCAAATAACTCCAAACAGTCGCGTGAAATAGTCAATCGCGTCCTTTTTTGTTCAACTGAAAGCAGTCGCGGAACCCACCTCGCAGACACCTTGTGGAAACCCAACTCGTTGACAATGATGTTTTGAGTTCGTTCATAAGAGATGCCTATAATCTCGGCTATCTCTCTAATTTTTAATCTGCGGTCTCACATTATTAAATCAAGTACTTTTTTTAATATTTTCGTCAGTAGTTGACGTCGAAGGCCTTCCAGAGCGGGGTTCATCTTTCACACTCTCTCTACCACGCTTAAATTCTGCTATCCATTTTTTGACGGATGAATATGACAGAGCACAATCGCCTAATGTACTGACCATGTCATCATGGATGGCTTTTGATGATAGCCCCTTCTTATGGAGGTACTTAATGACGGTACGCTGCTCGATTTGCTCCATTCGCGGAAATTATGTCCGATTACTTTGTTAATAAATTTATAAAATCACAACTAACTATCGCACACGTTTCGAACTTCACACAATGAACTAGTCTGAACTGAACTAAATAATGTGGGTAGATTTGATTTTTAGAATTGAATGGATCTGTGTTAGGCCGAGTACTTTTCAATCCACCCTCGTAAAATATTGCTATCTTTTTAAATTAAAATCAAGCGTGATATTTTCAGATTCTCTTAGTTCTTTACAAGCATTGTTATGTAATCCTTTCTATGACATTTCCCGCAATCCTTTGATATTTGAAATTGAGAAACTTCTATTCTTATACCAATTCCAAAACATCAACATTTCTCTCGTTTGGATTCCGAGTCATATTGGTATATCTGGTAATGAATATACTGACAAACTTGTTAAACAAGCTATAGTCTGTGGGGATACTTTCTTATTTAAAAATTATTGCTATGATCTTATAAGAACTACGAAATTAGTATATAGAGATAGATGGTCAAAACATTGGAACAAAACCAAAACGACAAAAGGCTGTCACTATGCCAAAATTCAACCCATCATTCCTTCTAAGCCTTGGTTTTATAAATTATCCTTAAATAAGAAACATACATCAATGTTATGTAGAATGCGCTTGGGTCACTGCTGTAATTCGGTTCACCTTGCTAGGCTTCATATTAAAAATTCTTCAATATGTGAATGTGGTTTGGATATTAGTGACCTCAACCATATTTTCTTCTCGTGTCCTTTATATGATCATGCTTCATTATTTAACACTTTGGTAAATCTTAAAATTCCTCTTCCTACAGAAATTTGTTCTCTTTTACTTTTTTCTAAAAAAAGTAAAAATGTTTTCAATTGTCTTATGGAATTTTTAGATTTAAATAATATTAGGTTATAAAATTTTATTCATTATTTAGCAATCAAACGTCTTTATTTAGTAATACTTATTATTTCAAATGTGGTATTGAGTTTGTTATTATTTTAATTCAACCCAACATCCATCAATTATTTAATATACTTCAGTACAAGTCATTTCATGATTCATTATTATAGTATTCTATGGTTCTTAACATTATGATTTCGGTTTTTAATCAGAATCGTAGTTTCTCTTTAGATTGTCCGTCGTTTCATTTCAAGTTACAAGTATTTTTATTGACTGGAGGTTGGCAGTAATTGTTAGGTTGCCACATTTTAAAAAAATTAGCTTGATGCTTGTTGGCTACTTCACGTAGCTTGCTACATATTTATTTATCTATGACTTCACGTTTGTATTGAAAAAACACAAACGAAGTTATTTGTTTGAAAGTAAAAATAAATATTTTCTTTTAATGTGACAAAGTAATGAAAAGATCATATTTTAATATGTATTTATAATATTTCTATATTATTATATATTTATTATTTTCAGGTTGGAAAGAACAGCGATATTTTGGTTTAAAAATGTCTGTTTCGCAGTTCCGAGTAACATGTGATACCTACAAAAATAATATATTTGGTGGCTTCTCACGACTGCAACAGGTAACTAAATCTATACCTTATAGAATTAGGCGTGCCGCAACCCTTCTTTTAATATATAATGGGAAATTAAACGGCCACCGTTACGTTAGCTTATTTATGGAGTATCGTGAGCTTGGTGCAAACCTGTAAGGTCCTACTATTTATGTAAGTAGAGTCACAACTGAACTACAAAACCTACCATGAAATCAACCTTAGTTTTGTGGGCAAAATGTATGCTCTCGTGGTGATTAAAATAGTTGTACTGAACTGACTAGATCTGATCTAGAAAAAGGGTGTTGGATTCAGATCTGTTCTATGCACAGAGAAGGTTTTTGTCTATAACCAGTAAGTTTTCTGTGCATTTTTAGATTTGGAAAAGGATTATGACAGAATGGTCAACACCTTTAAAAGTTGAAGATTGTAGTTTTAAGAGTGGGTAAGTGAAACATCAAAACTGTCTACGTCAATGATCAAGTCATATTTACATAATCGTCAGAGGAGTTGCAAATAATGGTTAGGTACAGTAACGAACATGTTATTGGTAATTTCCTGGACATATCCCAGAATTTATAAATTACATAATATTATACCTCCCTAAATGTCAGCAATATGTGAACCTCCGTTTCTTCCTCCGTCATACAAGCCCTTCACAGGGGACTGTCTGTAACACACATGGTAAATAAATGTTTGTTAAAAGAGCAATGTCCTGTGATATCACTTGTTAATATCTTTTATCTTCCTGGCATCTTATTGCTATAACTACTTGGATGATCCCATATATTCTGCCTGACAGACTGTTGTGGGTATCCATCGGTGTACATATGGAGTATCTTTTAGTGACAGCCTAAATAAAATTATAGTTACTAAATTTTGCCCAAATAGTAAAATAACAATTTTTTTTTGGTAGAAGAGGTAGTGCAAGCAAGAAACAGTTATTAAGATACAACTGAACAACTTAAACATAAACAAAATTTAAACGAGCAATTCTTGTATATATATATAATTTTTTTTTTTTTTTTTTTTAGTATAATCGGAATCTCGGAAACGGCTCCAACGATTTTCATAAAATTTTGTGTGCAGGGAGTTTCGGGGGCAATAAATCGATCTAGCTAGAATTTATTTTTAGAAAATGTCTTTTTGTCTGTGTTTTTAGGCAATGAAAAACTGATACAATATCCTTAGAATAAGAAGGTAAATTTTAACAGTTTATTAATGATTACAAGTAGCTTAATTGGTATATTGTGCGGTCACAAAATCATAATACCATGGTTCGAGCTCAGACCGACCGACCGACTTTTTTTAATTTTTTTTCAAGTTCCTTTCTTTTTTGAGAAAATCTATTTTTTCGAGCCCTTTTTTTAGTATTTTTTAAAAACACGAAAATTTAAATTAAACTAATTGCACTCATGATTTTTTATTCAAATAACCAGTTCAGTTTTTTCTATTATGTCGCTAAGATCAAAAAATATTATTCGTATTTCATCAGTATGTAATTTGTATCGAAATATAATTTCCAAAACACACGAATTAAAATAAACCGAGCGAAAAATACCGGTCAACCGGGTACTATTTTATTTATACCACAAGAAAATAATCTAAGACATAATTTAAGTTTTCAAATGAATAATTTAATATGTAATAATCTTAAAGTAAATACATACATACATAAATATAAATAATAATTTAAATTTGACATATAATTGGGGCTATGGCTGTCCGTTGAGCCTCCAACCACTTGCGTTATTGAGCTGACGGAGTTTCGTTGTGGTGGAGCTTGGCCTGCACGAGGCTAGTTCTGGATGAAATATTCTTTTTAATAAATTAAAAAAAAAAAAAACAATTTTTTAATTTTTTTGTCTGACTGTCTGTTTCTTACGGCTTATATTTCAAACTGCTGGACCGATTTTGACGGGAATTTCACTGGCAGATAGCTAATGTTATAAGGAGTAACTTAGGCTTTTTGTTATTATAGAAAGATAGTTAGAGTTCCGTACCAAAAAATTAAAACCCATAAAATTGTGAACGACATACAATTCAAATAAAGAATTATAATATATATTACTAAAAATTATGCGAACGAAGTCACAGGCACAGCTAGTCTTTTATATATATATATATATATGTCTGCAGTCAAAATTTTAAACAATTAATATTTACAGTATATTATTAAGAATTGCAACAATAAATATATACAATATTTATTATTATTATATTGTGGCAACCTTTGGGGAGATCTACTATCTACTGCTGTGATTAGGTGTAGGTAATGAAATAAAATGAAGATTTATTTGCTTCGAAAAAGGGTACATTTAGGTGGTTATTGTAAAGTGTAGTTCAGCTTTTTCAGCCATCTATGCACAGCATGCAAATACTGATAATAATGATGATTATTGTAAGAAAATTAAAAATAAATTAGTTTCAAATGGATGGCTTACATGCTTTTCAAACCTGTTAATTTATAACGATTTGTATTGTATTATTAAATACTTTGCGTTAGACGTAGTATATTCGGCCACACGGCGAATACCGAATATTCTGCGGGCTTCCTGGCCGAATAGCTGAATATTAGACATAAGTATTCGGCCGAGAATGAAGTACTGTTTTTTATTTAGAGCGTCTATTCTCGGCAGCTGGGAGTGTCTACGAGAAGAAAATTAGGAAACTAATCCCTGAAAATGCGGACAACTTAGTCTTTCTGCACCATAGTCTTCCACTTTGATTACTTTAATTCTAATGCATAGACACTATCTGTTAGTTTTTTTGTTATTTTTTTATAATACGGGAAATGATTATGTACTTGTGGCTACTTTAATGTTTATAATTAAAACACACAACAAAACATATTATTTAAGTATTCGGTATTCGGTCGAATAGGAAAAAAATTGTCGAATAGACCGAATATAGAATATTCGGTCAATTCGGCAATACCTAAGTTTACTTTGCGTTTTAATATCTTTCAGAAACAAGAATTCGTAGATATGACATTTGCAGCTGAAGGCCACTTTGTCAAGGTGCACCAGAGTTTAGTTGCATTGTGCAGTCCCTACATCAAAGAAATGCTGAAATCATTACCTGGTCAACATCCTGTAATTATATTGAATGTAAGCGGTTTCTTTCGGAAATTGTATTGAAATCGAAAAGAAATGTTTTTACTTTGTTCATTTATAAATATACATATAATTATATTTTCCAGAATGTAAGCTATGAAATACTTTGTTTTATATTGGAATATATTTATACTGGAGAGGTTGAAATACCAAGTCAGAAGTTAGACATGTTTATTAAAGCAGCAAACAGTTTAAATTTATCAGGAATTGATAAGTTGGAAAAAAATTCAGTAAGTTTTTATTAATCGTGATATCACTTTCATTTGCAAGTATGGTTATATTTTCAATTGTGCAGCATAAAAATATAGTCATAAGTTATTTTTATTACATAAGGTGTTATTCCTATATTATAAATTATAATTTTAAAAATAGAATTTTCAACTATGTTTATGAGCAGAGTGTAATTTTCGTGAACAAAGCTCTTAGCATTGGGTTAATTTTTTACAATCAACTCCACTCTTTTTAATTTATCGTGCATATTGTCCACAAACATTAGTAAATGCTATTAACAAAAGAAAGTTTTAAATGCTTTTTTCGAATTTAACTTGTTTTTATGTGTAATTATTGCGTTATTATTTCGTACGTGGTAGAGCCACGCTGCAGCTATATTGTGGTTGTAGTACTGATGGGTCAGCTCGACCGGGAAAGGACCACGCTCCTCACAGAATACCGGCTTAAAATAGCAGCTTAATACTGCTGTGTTTCGTATGGTGAGTGTAGAGATTCGGATACCCTTTTTTACTGGAAACGAGTCATTCCATTTTAGTCCTCATGGGTGACAACGCATCTGCGTTTTGATTCTTAATCGAGGATAAATGTAGATGGGCCACAGTATCCACTTACCAACAGGTGGACTGTGTGCTCGTTTGTCATCCTTATTCTATAAACAAAAACACATATTTCATATTGAAAAAATGATGCCACGTCTTTTTGGAGTTTGAATTTAATTTTTTTTTTAATTTTAACCTTGAATCTGAGAATGTTAGATCTAAACGCTGCTCAAGTTGCTAGTGCTATTACTTTAATTGAAACTGGGCACACCTACAAACATTATATGTATACTTATACTATGGTAACTTATTATATAAGTGTTATATATTTCTTATTTTGATTTTTTTGGTCTTATAGAGTGCTCCGTCTTCAGCTGTGCTAATTCGCCGTTGTGAGGGCCTCTACGACAGCTGCGTCTCTGTTTCTTATTGCATTTTTAAGTTATATTTTTTTCTTTAATCTTTAGGTAACAGACTCCTTTTCTGCTTGCGTATATACAATATATAAGGTGTCCGGGAGGGTGCCTGGTATGACGACTCCCGTGTATCTCTTCCTTTTCAGTAAATGCACCTGAAATCTGGTTGAATATATGGCACTATAGATTTCACTGAGGGCATATGCCATATACATCGGATTCCGGTGCATACGCAGAACTTCTTGGCTGATTGTCACGGGGCTTGGGCGAGTATATTTCATCGCAAAGAGGTTTTCCCTATCGATATACGGAAGTTGGGGTTGAGGTTCTTTCACCTCTCCTGTGGAATATGGTCATTAATGAACTCATCAGCAAATTAAACGCTAACCATTTCTGCACAGTCGGTTATGCAGATGATCTGACAATACTGGTCTCTGGTAAGACAGCATGCATTGTGTGCGACCTGACCCAAGCGGCTCTCCGTATTGTGGAGAGATGGTGCAGGGAATATGACCTAACCGTTAATCCAAATAAAACGGTTATAGTAATGTTCACACAAAAACGAATGCTGAATAACTATCATCTTCCAAGTCTTTTCAGCACAAAACTCCAACTTTCTTCCGAGGTAAAATACCTTGGACAGTAAACTTAACTGGAAAAAACACATAGAAAACAAAATCAGCAAAGCTAGTTTAACTTTCTGGCAATGCAGAAACATGATTGGCAAACGATGGGGTTTAACGCCAAAAATTGTACTGTGGCTTCGGCCCATGATCACATAGGCTCTCTGGTATGATGGACCAAAACCAATGAAGCCACCACTATACAAAAGCTTCAGCGTTACCAGAGATTAGCTTGTATGGCTGCCATAGGCTGCATAAGGACTACACCAACAGCAGCTTTGGAGGCTATGCTGGAGCTAACACCGCTTCATCTACATATACAACAAGAAGCAACTTTAGCTGCCATTAGACTCAAGACCCTAAATCTTTTAAGTAAGAGTAGAGACCCCCATACAGATATAATCGATAGAATTTACTCAAAAATTCCTATCTTACAAGCCAAGTATGATAGGATCCCAAAACAATTTGTATTCGATAAGAAGTACAGGATACAATTGAAGGAAACTGACCATCTGGAAGGATTGGGTCCAAGAGAGCTCAAAGTTTTCATGGATGGCTCTAAGACAAATGAAGGTGTGGGGTCTGGGGCTTTCTCTGAAGACCTTAATATCCACATATGCACACCGCTGGGTACCCACAACACAGTCTTCCAGGCTGAATGCATGGGTATCATCCAAGCGGCCATAGCAATAGATGCTAGGAAGGTGAAAGACTTCTCCATCAGAATACTGACTGACAGTATGGCGGTACTACAAGCTCTGAGTTGCAATGTGACGAACTCGGGACTAATATACGAGTGCCATCAACGATTGAATGAGGTATGTAAGCACAACAATGTGACTCTGCAATGGATCAAGGGACACAGTGGATCTAGAGGCAACGATGCAGCAGATGAACTGGCCAGAAGGGGATCGGCCCTAGCAACTATAGGGCCGATACCAATAATACCAATCCCCTTTGGCTACGTTCGTTCACTGGTACGTAGATACTTCAATAAATTACACGCTCAGCTTTGGAAAAATTTGGTAGACTGTAGACAAGCTAGGGAGGCCCTACCTGAAGTAAACAGTCGTCTAACCAAGGTTCTAATGAGACTGAACAAGCCACAGATCAGGATAGTAACAAGTGCTATCACAGGACATGGCTCTTTTAACAAACATTTGTTCACCATAGGTGTTACTGATAACCCCCTGTGCAGGGCATGCATGGGAGAGGAAGAAACGACGGTTCACGTGTTGCTGACATGTCCAGAAGTCGCTTCATACAGGGCTAAACATCCCGGCACGCCGGGATCGCTCCCCGAAGTTGCTTGCAACGTCAAGGGACTGCTGAGCTTCTTCGGGGAGATATCATGGCTCGAACAAGCATATTATTCCTGCCCACACGCAAAATACGCGCTTAGACGTGGAGTTGCGGAAAACAGCCCGTCGTAAACTAAACTAAACTAAACTAATACGGAAGTTGATTGATGTCACTGATGAGCATTATTTTTTCTGCTCCACTCAGTCGCATTGCCAGTACTATGGCCTCGAAATAGTTCATGAGTGCTTCGTCGACTAAAAGTGCATCTTCTGTTTTGCTTTCTCATGTCATTTACTGAAACTGAAGCCTAGTGCGCACTTTTGTTTTGGCATCGGTACCTATACGATTGGTGAACTTTTCTCTGAGGTCTTCAGCTACTTTTGTTGTGGTGACAATCAAATCTTTTTCCGCTTCAAATTGTCTTATGACCCATGTTGCTTATCTCATTTCAGAACTCCATTGACCCAATTTATTGTGGGCACCATCCAGTTTTAGTTTTGCCGTGTAGTGGCGCTTAAGAATATCCACTACCCCATATCTTCCCGTGGGTGTCGTAACAGGCGACAGAGGGAAACAGGCAGGAGATGGGCAGCTGCATCTTCCTGATAACAGCAACTGTACGACAAAAAAAAACTGCGGTTGCCAACCCGCTCGCCAAGCGTGGCAACTATGGCAATATACCCCCCATGATGAGAGTTACGAAGAGACGGCCCCCAGTCCCCGGCGGCCCCGCTATTCCTGGCTACGGTGACCATGGTAACGGAGTGTGTCGACGAGGGTTGCGTACCTTATACTCAAAATCACCAAACGGTATTCGCTGAAGGTCATAAAGGTTTATGCTGGAGGAAGAGTATGAGGATATTTCTAGAGTCATGCATTCCTCCAAAACTCACTATACGGTGTTAATGGGAGACTTCAACGCAAAACTAGGCACAAGAAAGAACGGTGAGCTGAAGGTAGAGAAATTTGGGATAAGGCAACAGAAACCAGGGCGTCAGCAGCTGACTGACTTCATGGAGAAAGAGGGACTCTTTATGATGAACTCTTTCTTCCAGAAGCGGCCCCACAGAAAGTGGACCTGGTCGAGCCCCGACGGTTCGACAAAAAATGAGATTGACTTCATTATGACGACTGGACGGCAACTGTTCAATGATGTCACTGTGATCTCAAGGATGAAAACTGGCAGCGATCACCGAATGGTTAGAGGCACACTGAACCTAAACGTTAAGTTGGAGAGGTCTCGTCTAATGAAGTCAACGCTCCGTCCCCCTCGTGCTCTAATCCAAAATCCCGAAACCTTTCAGCTCGAGTTGCAATAGCGCTTTCACTGTCTAAAAGATTTTAATGCAGTGGACGATATGAATAACAAGCTCGTGGAAACTGTCCATGCGGTCGGAGCTAAGTTCTGCAAGATCCGTCGCAGAAGAATACAAAAACTCTCCGATCACACATAATCTCATGGCTGTTAGACGGGAGATGAGGCTGCAATCGTCAGCAGATTTGACGGCATACAGGCAACTGAACAGACAGATCTCCAAATGCATACGGCGGGACTTACGCAACTTTAATACTGCTCGTATTGAAGAAGCGATCGAGTAGGGCTACAATGGCTATCCGAGTACAGAACCAGAGTTCGAAACCTATCCAAATGCAGACAGGTGTAAGACAGGGTGACGTTATATCTCCGAAACTCTTCACCGCTGCATTGGAAGACGTTTTCAAGCTACTAGACTGGAAAGGATACGGTATTAATATCCATGGTGAGTACATCACTCACCTTCGATTTGCCGACGATATAGTCCTTATGGCAGAATCGCTGGAGGACCTAAGCACTATGCTCAATAACCTCAATGGTGTCGCCCAACGGATAGGTCTTAAGATGAACATGGACAAAACAAACATCATGTCTAATCTCCTTGTCACACCTATGCCGGTAGTTGTTGGGAGCACTATGCTCGAAGTTGTTGACGAGTACGTTTACCTGGATCAAATAGTCCGACTAGGTAAGCCACATCTTCTCGTCAGGTATACATCAAACTCTGAAAACCAGATTGTACAACCAGTGCGTGTTGTCGGTGATGACTTACGGATCTGAGACGTGGCCCTTGGCCCTTCATTGCTGGCCGTATGAGGACGCTCAAGGTCGTTCAACGAGCTATGGAGAGGGCTATGATCGGGGTTTCTCTGCGTGATAAACTCAGAAATGAGGATATCCGCAGTAAAACCAGTGTGACCGATATAGCCCAACGGATTAGTAAGCTGAAGTGGCAATGGGCCGGCCATAGAGCTCGAAGAACCGATAACCGATGGGGAAAAAAGGTTCTCGAGTAGCAGCCTCGTACCGGTAGGCGTAGTCTAGGGCGACCCCTCACGAGATGGAGTGACGACCTGGTAAGACATGCAGGAAGTCGATGGATGCAGGTGGCTCAGGACCGTGCTTTATGGCATTACTTGGGGGAGGTCTATGTGCAGCAGTGGACTTGTGAAAGGCTGTAATGATGATGATAATGATGACCGTCCAGTTTTCCCAAGTATCTCTCAATCCACAGGTCCCCGATATGGTCTCCGCCATGTTCAGGATCACGTCTTCTAGCATCACCCTGGTGCAACGGGCGGTAACCCCAACAGGGTCGTTAGAGGGGGTTTTGAATACTGCTCTCGCTTGTCGTTCTGTATCCTGCTCGTCCAAGGCTACAAAGCCCTCTGGACCGCTATAAGCTGCCATGTGGTGATCCATTACAACTCTTGGCCGCTGCACAGACGGTTTTAGTTAATCCACTTACCCCGCTTTGTGACTCAAAACTTTTGGTAATTTTTTGCCTGACTGCGGTCTTTTCAGGCGTTCTGAGCCACTAAGTGTTTCTGGATTTGCTGTAAGGTGTTGGGTCGCCTTTGTCGAGTCGTGATATTTGAAGAAGCTCAAGTTTTCACCCCTATCCTCGTACACGATTATCTCATGTTTATTTGAGGCTTATATGCAACCTATGTAGTTCATGACTTCACCTTTCTCATATAGGATCACCATGGCATCCACACTAATGATGCGGGGTATGTCCGCTGTTTCTACCTCACCGAGTCTCGTTAGCAGTGAGCATGATGCCAGGGCGAATGGGGTTTTCTCTTCGCTACATGCGAACAGCAAGATCGTTTTGTTTTTCGATCAGTAATTACTATTTATAAGGAAAAGGTTGTTAACAAAATAATTGCAAAATTAACATTTTTATAAATTTAAATTGAACTGATATCGTTTTACTTTTTATTGATTTAATGCAACCATCTGTCAATTTAATATACATTATTATTTTATTTAAAAATAGTGCAAATTTAGTCCAGAGAATCCTGCCCCAGGGTCTGATTCAGTTCTAATAATATGAACTGTGAAGTGTGTAACGCTGGCCATTACTATCAGAGTGAATCATGATCATCCTTTCATGAGAAATGCGGAAAAGTACCTGCTATTTGTATTTTTTTATACGATAAGGGTGACAAACGAGCACATAGTTCATCTGATGGTAAGTGGTTGCTGTGGCCAATAGACATCTATATCTATCCTCGATTACGTATCAAAATGCAGATGCGTTGTCACCAGTGAGGACTAAGATGGAATGTGTAAAAATCAATACACTCACCATACGAAACTCATTAGCGTCAAGTTGCTATTTTACGCTAAGTTAGTAATTAACGATAGTGTAACAAAACACCATTACATTGTATTATATAGGGGCTGCTATTATATTAATAATTACAGGTTGTGACTTGTGGGTCATTTAGTTCCCAGAGGGGACAAGTGATTAGGTAATACACCATTTACCTTTAGTTCATTTAATATAGTTTTTTTCCTTTCAGATGTTTTTATCTGAAGGCTCAACAAATAATAAACCAAAAGAAAGAGTGACCACAGATCACTATACAAGGTAGTTATTAATTACGCTTGCTTTATGTTATGTTCAATTGTTACTTAACAGGGTTATTTTTCAAAGAGTAGATATCCAAATTTTATATTTAAGTACAAATATATAAAAATGATACATCGTTATTGCAGTTTTTGGAAAACACGAGTAAATAAGGCTTTTCTTTTATTTAAAATTATCCCAAATTGAATGTAATTTATGGGCACAAATTACGTGTACCCGCAATCCTCTGTGTGTGTGGCAATTCACAACGTTTTGCCAACCGTAGTATAAATTATCTAACGCCTACTGCGTTACATATTTATGAATTACAATCAGTAAAATTATGTATTACCGTGGATTCTGAATTTAAAAGATATAATATTTTTTTGGAATTTTTATTAATTAAATAAAACTAGTTTTACGGTTTATATCGCTAAGTATATTAACTTATTTTATATTCTCAGCACTTTACAGCACTCATGGTCACGGAGGAACTGAGGTGTTCGTCGCCCCAATGTCATAGTTAACCACGGCTACCTCTAGATTAAAATTATTAATTTTTGTTCTTAAATACAAACAATTTTACAAACAAAACGATCAATAAAAACACGCGTTAAAGAACACAAAGCTACGCTACAAAGCAACATAGAGAACATAGAGAATAAATAAAGAACATAGAGATATTATACATCCTAATTTCAATAGAGAAGATGGCTGGGTGCTACCATCTGCTTGGGATCCTATAATAAATAAAATTAAATCCCAACCCAAGCATACAACTGCAAGACTTCAAGATACCATAAGTTCATACTGCATAGATCGGAACAAAAGTTAAATTTTAATCTATGGTAACCGCGGTTAACTATGACATATGGACGTTGAACATCTCAGTCCTGCCCGTGACCATGAGTGCTGTAAAGCGTTCGAAACGTCGGGTATTTAAAAAGTTAAAATATACGCGATAAATTCCGTAAAAACTAGTATTATTTCAATGTGTAGTGTTCGCGTAAATATAAGAAATCATTAACACAAAGCTGATGTGAAGAATCGACGCTCCGAGAAGTCTGCAGTCTGTGAACACCCTCAGACACACATCAGATTTGATAGACCACAAACCCTCGCTAAAGAACATAGATTTCTTCCAAATATAATTCACGAGGCTATTAAAGTTAAAAAAAATCCTAATTTCAATACAGAAGATGATTGGGTGCTACCATCTGCTTGGGATCCTATAATTAATAAAATAAAATTCCAACCTAAGTACGCAACTGCAAGACTTCAAGATACTATAAGTTCATACTGCGTAAATTTTAATCTGGAGGTAGCCGTGGTTAACCATGACATTGGGACGTCGAACTCCTCAGTCTCCTTCCCCCCCCTGTGACCATGGGTGTTGTAAGGAATATAAAACAAGTTAATATACGCGCTTTAATCTATAAAAAGTAGTTTTATTTAATTGTGTAGTGCTCGTATAAATAAAAGATATATTATTAATAAATAATTTTATTAATAATTTTTTTTTTCACCATTTGCCTATATTACTTATTCTTAAACTTCCCTGTAAAGCAGATGTTTCAAAACAGTGGCGAAGCTAGAGCTCCCAGCTAGGGCGAGCCCAAGATATAAATTGATAAAAATATAGATTGTTGTTTTTAGTAGTTTTATAAAAATACACCAATCTTGATCTGTCTCCACGCTTCAGTTTCATATTCAGTGCTGTCAAGGACGTGTTTAACAAAGCACACAGAAGGCATACCACTGCTAGATAGATTGTATTACATTTCAGCATTTGCATTGCTTCGGTGGCTTTGAAGAAAGCCGTTTGGGTTTGTTTAAGCGAAAGAAAAAAAATATTTACATCCAATACAATACATGAACAAAAGTAAAACACGAACAAAGTACAAACAAACTATGTACAAAATTAAAAAAAATATTTACATTCTAATGGATAAGAGATAAGTGGAATCGTCTCGCTTTCTTATGGAAAGATTTAATTACGTCCACGTAAAATGTTGGTGAACGTTTTAATTGTACCAATAACTGTTTTTAATTGCGATAATTGATAAGTCTGAAATACTCTTAACCTTGTGTATTATCTCAACAAAGTTTAAAGATTTCCTCTCCGATTATCACTTTAACACACTTCAATTCATCACAAGGAACACTATTATCCTCCATTTTCATTAAAAATCTTTAAAAAAGCATAAATTTGAACTCGTAATATTAAATCGCTTAAGATAAGCACACAGGGTAAATAAACATTGAAACGTGAAATGAACTTGCAAACGTATTGCCCGCGCGCCTCCGCTTTTAACAAATTTATTCCCAAAAGCCTGGCTTTAAATCTCATACTAATTGCTATATATACAATCGTAGTTATATTTCATTATAGAATATTTTGCCATAGGTTACGAAGAGAGCGATCGTCTTCTCGAAAGCCCCGTAAAAAGCCCACGCGAGCAGGAGACAACTATTAGCTCTATTAAAACTCATTTTTTATGACAGCAGCAGTATCGCTAAGGCAATACGAGGTCATCGGTCGACATGTGTCTAACAGTGGAGTGCGCGGGAAATTTGAAATAGCTTGAAACATTTTACGAGTTATTTTATTAGTTGATAGTATTGATTGATATTATTGATTGATTCCGGTTTAATAAGGCAAGCCCGGCTTTTCGGCTTTAATGGAAGCTTCGTCACTGTTTCAAAATGGGCCAAGTCTATGTACACTACCTCAAAAAAAGAGCATATAAATGTACTCTCTCGTGGTAAACAATTGATGTTTATTAAATATTTTTATCGACTTTCAACATGGCGTCACACCGATTTAGTTATTCTGTGCTTATAGACAATGACAGTAAACTGTAAAGCGACCATTGATCATAGAAAGAGAACTGTCAGTTGTCACAACAGTGTCAAAAATGCGTGAAATAAACATGTCAAAACATGTCACTAATCAATAAAAATGACAGCTTACCGCCATGACGGGTATTTGTTGTGTGTTGCAATTTCAAGTGTAATTTGCTGTTTTACCACCAAACAAAGCCATTGTAAAATAATTGGACCGTTGAGAACCGTTTAAAATGTGTTTCCCTATTTTTGAGTATAGTGTACAAGGACCTGGCCCAGGCTTCATATATTTTGGAACATCTCCTTTGGGCGTAGGGGGGCGTCCATAAATTACGTGAGATGTTTAAGGGAGGGAGGGAGTCGAGTCAAATCTCATCTAATCTTACGTTGGAGAGAGGGGGGGGGGTCTCGGCAAATATCACGCAATTTTTTTTCTCTTTGAAACAAAAAAACTATTTTGGTCCATTTAATCCAGATTGTACATGCTTAAGATTTAATGTTAGCGTATATCGTAATACTACTACTACTGAAATGTCATATTAATAAACCAATTAGTCAAACCTATGGTCAAGCCAAAGAGTATAGTAGGTTTGACCAAAGAAAATTTTTTTAATGAAGGAAAATATAACTTAGAGTTTGACCATATTCTTATCCAAAAATAAAAATTATCAACAATTAAAATATCGAATTATTTGTATGAAGGTCACGTGAGCGCTAGAGAAACGACGATTGTAAGACGTTGTTGATAAATAAAATATTTAATGAAATAGTACAGTAAAAATAGAAATTAACTTTGCACTAAATTTCCGAACCAATTTAATTTTTTATAAGCCTTAGGATCACTTACTCAGCATAAAATCACAAAGTGCTGACAGATCCAGGTGGTGCCCAGAAGTGCTGCAGCCCACGCTAGAGTGATCAGCATATGATTCTTCACGACCGTTTTGTGCCACCTCCATACCCTATCATTTAGGTTGATAGACATTTGACAATTCCGGACTTTAAAGAGCATGACGGTAAGTCATTTGCTCCATTTCTAATACGCCGACCAACCGCTGAACTGATTAAACCGATTCAACTGCTGGATGCCTTCATCAGCACACCTTATGATCTCTATTGCCCAGGTGTACGTGATGATTTAGAGATTTGGATTTTGATTTTGATTTGGTTCCAATAGTCTCTCTTGAGACCGCGCATGATTCTCCATGGACTGAATTAGAGTAGATATTCTTTTTTTTAATCACAGTAGTCACGATTTAAGTATTCTATTGTTAAATTTTTATTACACTTATAACTCTCAGCAATATTGATTACTAGTCTTAACTAGTAAAAAAAAGCACGAAGCAAATTTTTTTATTTTTTTTTTAATAGAAGAGGGGCAAACGAGCATGCGGCTCACCTGATGTTAAGTGACTACCGCCGCCCATGATCAACCGCAACACCAGGGGAATTGCAGGTGCGTTGCCGGCCCTTTAGAAAGGAGTGCGCTCTTTTCTTGAAGGTCCCCAGGTCGTATCGGTCCGGAAAAATCGCTGGTGGAAAACTATTCCACAGAGAGGTTGTACGCGGAAGAAAACTCCTCTTGAAACGTACAGTGGTGGACTGCCAAGCATCCAGATGATGTGGATGGTATCGCGACGTTTGCCGCGTAGTGCGTTCACGAAATCTGGCGGCGGCTGGGATTAATCTGCAACAATTCCTCAGAGCACTCTCCATGGTATATGCGAAAGAAAATGCAAAGAGATGCAACATCTCTTCGCAGTGCCAGTGAATCGAGCCGATCGGAAAACACTCGGTCGTCGACGATTCGAGCCGCTCTGCGCTGGATGCGGTCAAGTGGAAGGAGCTCGTACTGGGGAGCCCCAGCCCAGAGATGGGAACAGTATTCCGTGTGCCGAACCTGCGCCTTTTAAAGTTGCAGGCGGTGTGTCGGCATGAAATACTGTCCCGCTCTGCTGAGCACGCCAAGCTTTTTAGAGGCCAATTTGGCCTTCTCTTCCAAGTGACCACGAAACTGCAACGCACTCAATATGTCGACACCGAGGATTCCGATACTGGCTGAGGCAACAAGGGGAGTGCCTTGAAATTGAGGAGATACGACAAAGGGGTTCTTTTTAGCTGTTAACGCGCAAACTTGTGTCTTCTGGGGGTTAAATTGGACTAGATTTAGTCGC